ATCCTAATTCTAACCAACTTATGTTAAGGAATTCAGTTGGGTATCACTAGTTGACAATAGCGGAATAGCCAATATTAAATATTCTGAATTTTGAAATGGTTTGAGAATCTAAAAATTTTCCAGAATGTTTTCTCAGAATGCTGAGCGACACAGAGCCAATTAATGTCTTCCTGGGGACAGTAACCTCAACAGAGAGCGACGTATCCCAGGAGAATTTACTGTACAACTTCAACACACACCAAGAAAAGATATATGCCACCGTAAATGTTAACGACCACCATGATAGTAATATACATTGAAAGTAGACACAGGAGCGGATGCTTGCGTAATTACCACAACAGATTTCCAGAACCTCCCGTTTTCAGTCGATATTCTCCCCTGTAGTAATATCTTGAAAGGCTATGGAGGCTCAGAAATAGAGAACATTGGAGCAGTGGTGTTAAAAGTCTCTTTCAAGAGCAAGTCGAGCAACATCAAGTTTAATATTGTGGAAGCCCCAGGAAGCCCGTCTGTGCTAGGATGTCGACAGTGCCAGGAGTTAGGAATAATTACAGCGAATGTTGATGAACTCAGTACAACCCCCTCAAATGAGGCATCTTTTCGATAAACAATCCTATTACACAAGTTTCACCAAAAGAAAGCCAACTCCAGAAATCTACTGTTTTAAAAGAGTACCAAGATTGTTTCGATAAACTGGGATGCTTTCCAGGAGATAAATACCACATTCAATCCCAGTTGTACACCCCCCACGCACAGTTCCCATACACATACTGCCCTTGTACAAATCAGAGCTAGACAGAATAATTGCTGATGATCTCGTAACTGAAGTGAAAGAACCGACCGATTGGGTAAATTCAATTGTGTGCAACATCATGTACATGCAAAGGAACATTGACGAGCTCTTACTATTGCTCCACGGTAAGAATTTTTTTCAGTCGTTGACACAAAGAAAGGATATTGGCATGTAGAACTACACGATGAATCCAGTTTTCTATGTACTTTTAATACCCCTTTTGGGAGATACAGCGCAAACTTGATGAAGTTTACAAGGGCATCCTAACACTGAACAAGGGCATGACCGTGCTTTTATTGAAATGCTTGAAGCTACCCGTGCACACAACGTCAGTTTGAACGCTGAGAAGCTGCAGTTCAAACAGTCTAAACTTGATTTCTTTGGTCATACCTTAACAGACCAGGGAATCCAACAAGCAGAAGATAAACTGGAAGCAATCCGTAATATGAAGCCCCCGTCAAACGTCAAAGAGCTTCAAACTATCCTTGGAATGGTTACGTACCTTAACCGTTAATCCTCTAAGTTAGCCTGTTTGACAGCGTCATTGAGTTGACGAAGCAACATGTCCGTTTCAAATGGGAACCCCACCATCAGCAAGCACTGGACAAAACCAAAGAAGAACTTTGTTCTGTGAAGATACTTTCTTACCACGACCCTCGTCCAACCACACCAACGATTCTACAGTATGACGCAAGCCAAGAAGGAATTGGGGCCTGGATATATGACAAGGTGATCTGCAAGGAAACGATAATATCGTCGTTATGGCTTCTCGGTCTCTGATTACTACGGAGTGAAGATATTCGAACATTGAGCGCGAATGCCTGGCTGTTATGTATGGTTTAGAGGAATTTAGCTATTACTTGTTGGGACGAGAAGTAATAGTGGAAACTGACCATTCCCCGTTGGAGAAAATATTCAAAAAGAACCTTTCCGAAGCCCCAACTCCACTCCAACGAATGTTGGTTAGATGTTTACGATTCAATGTCCAAGTGAAATACAAGCCGGGGAAATCTATTCCAGTAGCAGATGCCCTGTCGCGAGTGTGTTTTGAGAAAGAAGCGCATCAAGTCGAAAGCCCTCCAACTGAACGAAGTTCCTGCCCCATCGACCTTCATTTCCTGCCCCATCGACCTTAACGCAGTAAAGCAAGTCACATCTCAAGATACCACCATTAACATGTTAAAAGACACGATCTTCAATGGATGGCCGATATCAAGGCGAAACCAAGTGTATTCTTGCCAGAGAGTCAGTATTCTGGCTAGGAATCTCCAACGACATCAGACAGATAGTCAAAGACTGTGGACCGTGCAACCATCACCATCCTATCCAGTCAGAACTGTCCATAATGCAGCCAGACCTCCCCACGCGACCATGGGAAAAGCTTGGCACCGATATATTCGAGAAGTACTTTATGATTGTTGACTACTATTCCAGGTTTCCTGTGATTAGACTTCTGAATGGCATGACTGTTAATACCATATGCAATCACTTTATGAGTGTTCTGGTTGAGTACGGTTTGCCAGCCAGGATTACTTCTGATTTTGGGTCGCAGTATGTCAGTGAGAGCAGTTCAAGGCAATGTGCAAGCAAAGTGGAATCATCCTGGAGTTCAGTTCCCCATACCATCGTCAAGCAAACAGCCTAGTTGAGAGAGCAGTCGGAACGTGCAAGTCTCTTTTAAAGAAAGCAGTAGAAAGCAATGAATGTCCATACACGGCCATATGGATGTACCGTATCATTCCATTGGACAGTTAGGTGCCATCCCCTTACGAGTTATTGTTTGCGCGAAAACCTCAGCCATGCCACCTCAGACCATGCAAGTACAGAACGTTTGTTGAAATCAGGCATCCTCAGGATAAAGTACACCAAGAACCAAATCAACAGCGCCAAGTCAAGCAAGCTGAATTCTATTACAGGAGAAGTGGTAACGATCGAAGAACAAGAGATCATTTGAAACCTACGAGTGAGAATGCCACTATTCCTCCGCGAGTCGAAAGATATCCATTTCCACAGATCAGGATATTAGGGGATCCAATACCTAACACTGACGGTATCCAACGTCAACCATCATCGGCTGTGGAAATAACTGATACAAACGTGGAAGAATCAGTGACGACGTCTTCAACGGATTTAGAAAAATCACCTTTACCACCACTGCAAAGTCCTAGTTCTCATGTCATTGTTATTAAAGAGGAAAAAGTCGCGTACCAGCCAAAAGTCCAAATTACCAGAACGGGAAGAGTTACAAGAATACCAGCTAACTTTAGAGATTAATTATACATTATACGTTTACGAACACGCGATGTCATAACATTGTATTTAATTAACGTTATATTTCATGCGGGCCATATTTCACTTCCATATATGGACATATGGGATGGGCCAAGTTTTGAATATACGTAAATTAATATAGATTGGATTGCATGCTCGTAGAGACGAACAGCATTGATTACAGACACTACAAATATCAAGAATTAGCTAAATATAAGTTTATAAAACACTGTTTGTGTAGTTATTATATGCGAGTACAATAACAGAGGGTCTTGATTACAATTCAACTGGGCTTTGTATTCATTTATATAAACCAGAGTAGCGAGCGAAAACATGATTGGTATACCTGGTTGCCGTGAACGAACGAACAAACTTTAAATGTTATTTCATGATAATGATTTTGTCGTGTTGCGATTTGCTAATTTGCTTACGATTTTAATCCTAAAAACCTGATCGCGATTCTATGGAGTATGGTTGACTGGAAAGTTGGATGTAAATGCTAGACGGGTATACATTTTTCGCTCTTTTGCTGATGAAAAGCGACATTTGGCGACATCTTATCCGATTTTTCATCGAAAATCGCTAACGAAGGGAAGATTTTTAATATAATTATCCATTTCAGGGAAGATTTTTAACTCTTCTTGCGTACCAATATAATTTAATATAATTATCGTCATTTAATATAATTATTGTTATTCTTTATATCCCTATGTTATTTATCAACTACAAACTGTTTCTAGTCGTCTGGAAAAGTCGTACAAACAAAATTTTATCGCCCGATATAAAAAAGATGTTTTCTTTGAAAAATATTTCTACTTTAGCAGTCGCTTGTGTACAGTAGTTGTGTTGTGGTGTTCAGGGCCGCCGAGAGAGGGGGTGGGGGCAAATTTCCCCGAGCCCCCAGGTTCTTGGGCCCCAGTCATTTTTTTGGGTGAAATATTTCCGCGCAAAGGGCAAGATATTTGGGTTTTTTGGGCAAAGTACCTAAATTTTGTATGAAAAATTGAGGTAAAGTCGCTGGAAAGCAATTACAACGTACTCGTCCGGAAATTTTTTTCCCTAAAAAGTTGTCGACCGGGGGGGGGGGAGGTTGTTGTCCTAAAAATAGGCCCCCCCCAAAAAAAAATTTGCCCCGGGCCCCCGCGTCAAGCTCTCGGCGGCCCTGGTGGTGTTATCCATTCCAATGGGCGTCTACATTGGAATGGATAACACCAATAACATTCTAACAATACACTCGACAAACTTTATTTTAGACACTGCAAATCTTCATAATCCACCCCATACAATTAAACCACCATTTCGTGTTATGTAATTAGGTTTGCTACGCAATACATGTAATATTGAAAGTTAAAGCCAGGTTACACTGAATTTGCGCGGTAATTTTATTTCTCTTCACTACCTTCTAACAAGTGTTCTTTCGTGTCTTTACAAAATGACATAGCTTTTATTAATAACAATTTCTCATTTCTACGCAATTTCATTGCCAGCTGAGTGTTTTCGCTCAAATCACAAGACTCCAAAGCCTCGTCATCTTGCTACAAAAACATAGAAGATTGATTAATATTCCATCTTGGGTATAGATCGCGGGGTAGATAACGTTGGGAACAAGTACTGCATGTTCTAGCAACACGACCATTGGCTGTGGGGTGTCACGTGAAAACATACAGTAGGCCTACTATCTGTACTATGAAACACGCATGCGAAAAATCATATCTTGTCAAGATGATGTGTTCACAACACTCTGCAGTTCTAACTGCTGCTGTAAAGTTCTAAATGCTGCTGTACGTTGTTTTATCAAAATGCATGATCATATTAATATGTTGTTCGATATTATTATCACTGACTAGCCGTTGCAAAACAACCCGATATCAACTTGTCGAATACTTTGTAGCACATTTGTTACAGGCCTGTAACAACTTATTTTTTCTCTTTGAGATGTCACCGTCCAAAAATATTAATTCGCTAGTATTCTGATGCGCTGTTAAACATTGCACATAAACAAGATTAGAGAGGTTCAAATTTTGACTTCCACTATATCGCTACCGTTACCGTTAACCAATCAGATGAAATTATACTATACCCGATCAACCAATCGAATGCGTATTACAGGGTTCGTACATGCGAGGAAGAGTCAAATTCAAGGTCTTTTCAAGGGCATTCCAGGCCATGTATCAGCAAATTCAAGGACTAAATACTGAAGAAAAGGGGTTAGAAATCAGTAAAATCTGACGTTGAATTGTTCAAAACGCAACTTTAATGAGTTTCAAACAGCTTTGTCAGATATGAACATGCAAAAGCAATTCAACAAAATGTCCGTTTTGAATGTCAAACAATTTTAAAAAATATTCAAAAACTAAAGCAAGAAAAATTGAAGGACTTTCACGTACGTCTTTACAAATTCAAGGACATTCAAGGCCTTGAATTCTTGTTTTCAAATTCAACGACATTCAAGGACTTTCAAGTTTTGTACGAACCCTGGTATTAAGCCTGTGAGACGTAGCGGTAGTGGTATAAAAAAGTGAAAGTAGTGAAAGTCAAATATGAATCTCTTTATTTTTAAGGTTTCAGCTCCCAAAATACTTGCCTCTTTCGTTGTGGGATACTGACGCAGTAATAATGAACACCTGAATGTTTAATAATTAAAAACGTAAATAAGTAAAACACAAGACAGCTTATTTTGGTCCACATTGGTGTGAAGAACATTCTGTTTTTAAAACATGCACATATATAACATGCAATATTTAGCATCATTACAGCACTATTGAAACAATATTGCTATTTAACAATATCGCTATTTAACAATATTGCTATTTAACATATAGCAATAACTATTTAACATACAGGTATAGCAATAGCAATATTGTTATTTAGCATATAGCAATATTTCACATGCACAATTTATAGGTGCCTGTGCATTTATATATAGCTGATACACAGTATATGATGTCATAAAATGGTAATGATAAAAAATTGACCACCATGTTATGAAGTTTTCTGTGATCTACTGTATAGTTATTTATTTGTTTTATATTATAAAATTAAAAGTTGGAAAATTAGCTGAACTAGCTCAAAACGTTTTTTGCTTTAAAGCGCGACGGAAAGAGATTTCCACGCCATTCAACGTGACCATAATCTATACAAAATACCGCACGGCATTGATTCGTGATGCTTCTGAGCGAGTTGTGATTGGCTTAAAAGCCTGACGACGAATTTCCAATAAATTTGAAATATCACTGTTCAATA